AAATTAGTGTCAAAAAAAAAAAAAATAATTAAAAATCTTAGGTAATAAAAGTAAAAACGATTTTAAACATGAAATGTGAATCATTTCATTCTATTATGCAATCATTTTTGGCATAAATATTATTCATATTTTTACTATTTATCTTTTCCCGCACAAATTTGAACATAGTAATAAGTTACTGAAAATTTGAAATGAAAAAAGTATTATAATTAGAAAATGCTTATTTCATCCTATTATATTATTGATTCTTTGCATGATAAATATTCAAATTTCTTTCATCTTTCAAATGAAATGATTATAAACTTTCAGGACATAATTTCAGGACAAACTAATCACAAAATTATTCAATTTGATCATTTGTTGTAATTTTTCACGTTTTATTTAGGTAATTCTACATGTAACTCAAAAAGAAGTGCGGATGCGAATGTTTTGGACACAATCTTAGATGAACTTACAAATACGGTACAACGTGATATGCGTTCTAAATCAAAATCACCCAGTTCAGCAATATCATTTTTAAACGTCCGGAATGGTCCACCAAAACCACCGGAACGTCATTCAACAACCGATGTTCGAAATCGTTTTACATCATGTGAAATCCAAGAAATGCAACGTCGAGCAATTGAAAGTGTTTCACCTTCTTCAGGCTAGTTAGTAGCAGAGATTTCGAAATATTTCATCCAGAATGCGATTCGTTTTAAATATTTCATTATCAAATTTTTATTTGAAGAATTTTTAATGAATGAAATACTTTATAAACCTATTCAATTCTTTTTTTTTAAAATGTACTTTTGTCAAATTTGCTAGGAAAAATTATTATTTTGTTAAAAGATAAAACAAAAGTACTTATATAAGTTTTTTTCATTACGTCCAAGAATATTCTTGTCATCTCCCTCTCTCTTTCTCTCTCTCTCTCTCTCTCTCTTTCTTCCTTCTTCTTCCTCTCTCGTTTTCCACTCTTCTGCTACTAATTAATTATTATTCGCGGAAGCTTTTCTTTTTTCTTTTTGGTTTTGTTTTGTTTTATTGAGCAAGAATTGAAATGATTTATGTGAACAAAACGTATCGTCGTTTATCCAAATAATACTTGAAGAGATTGTTCAATAAGTGGCGCAGAATATTGGCGAACAGATGTCGCTCAAATTGACAAATGACAAAACATATGGCAAATATTGTTGTTCTATTTTCTCTCTAATTAATTGTAATTTTAGATAATAGTCGAATTTTAGGGCAAAATTTTAATTTTAGCACTATGACCACTTGTACACTCAGATAATTTTAATTAAATTTGTAAAATTTTTATTTACATTCAAATTTCCTTCATTCATTTCACATTTTTACTTACAAAATAAAACGATAAATGGATTAACGCAAAGTTATATAATTTTAATTGAGTATATTATGAGATTAATTAGAGGCAAATCGGTTAGATTTTAAAAATTTTTCTCATAGCAATACAATAGCAATGTAAATATTTGTAAATTCAGACAATTTCAATTGAATTTGTTTAATAATTAATTAGAGCTCAATTAGTTTTTTTGTAAACATTGTTTACAATGAATATAAAATGTAATTACAATCATCGATTGGAAAACTAATTGTTGTGTAGATGAGAAATCAAAAGATCAGTAATCTGATTGATCATTGAACAGATAATTTATATAGAATACATCTCATGTCTTCCATTAATTTATTTATCATTTTATCAATTATCAAAGTTAGTTTGCATTCAGTTATTTGATAAAAGAGATTGACGATAAATTTAAAAAGCCCTAATAACAAGTTAAAATTTAATTTTCGATATTAACTTCAAAAATTAGTGGTGAAGAATTCGAAAAATTTAGACTAATTTAGGATATAATTGTAATAAATGCTATGAAATAAAAATGACCAAATATGAATAATTTTTCTATAAAAAAATAATAATTTTGTAAATTAATAATAGAATATGATTAGGTAGACTGATACTAATATGATAATATTATAATAGCTTTTTTTTTAAAATTACAATGATAATTTTATAATACAACGATAAAATATAATGTGAAAAATTGATAACGCAATAATTCTTTTTTTGCAATATAATGACGAATTTATGTCCACAGATTCTTTGTAACATAGATTTTAAAGTGACATTTAAATATTGGAATTAAATTTCAGGAAATCGACTGCCAGTGTCGATCGAACTAGATGGACGTCAAGAAAAATTAATTCAAAAGCAGCGACAACTGCACAGTCAATTTGAACAACTACAACAGCTGTGTGCACCTTCTAATGTTATTTAATAAACTACAGTCAATTTTTTTTTTAATTTCGTTATTTTTTTATTTTGAAATTGTTATAAAAATTCTCAAGAGAAACTAAAAGAATTTTTTGTTAAGAAAATCCTTTAAAATTATTAAAAACAAAAGTGAAATTTTAAAATAAAAGGAAAGGATTAAAGGATAAGGAAAAGGCTTATTCTTATTAATTATATATAAATTGAAATTTAAATTTCATGGATTTCTTTTTTTTTGGATGAATGAAGAATTATTTGGATTCCTTCGCTAGAAATAATTTAAATTTTAATATTAATAAATTACCTGTAAGATGGCAAACGTGTACATATTAACTCATTCACCAATAACAACATAATTAATAAGTTGAATTGTAAATTGAACTGCATGGTGGTTTAGTTAATATTATTAGGATAAAAAAGAAAATAATTCGATTTATATTTGTAATCAGGAAATATGCTATGTAAAATAACGGCATGGATCGATACAATATGTTATGCTCATTTGGTTTTTTATTATTTAAAATTTAAATTTAAATAAAATAGAAAGGATTCATTCATTGTTACTATTCACTTTATTTTATTTTACATTTAATATAACATGTTCTCTTCCAAAGTTCAATAAAAAAAACAATGTTAAAATTATTTCTTTCAGTTCAGACTAGTCATCCATCATTTATTTTGTTTTCTTCTTTAACAGCTATTAATTTCTCTTCTTAAGTAATTATTCCATTGTTTGTTTTAATGATACCTTTATTAATTAGTAGTTTTCTTGGCACTTCTAGAATGCAATCAATTTTACTAATTGGCAAAATACTTCGATGATAAGTACAAGACAACACTGTGTATTCTTTTCTATATTGTTTCAGCAGAAGTTGATCAAAAGATTTGAATTGAATCTATTGATTGATTTTTAGAATTGAGGATTTTATTACGAAATACGTTATGCTCTTGTAAATGTAGAATTACCGAAAAATCAATCATTAAACGATTAGTGCTTGCATGTTATCAATTATGGAAATTGTAGTCCATCTTCTTTTTAACAATAATGATCAATTTGATAAATCCCTGAGCCAGGAATGAAGTTTAATAGCAATAATGATGAGTACAATCAGATAGCAATAAACTGTTATTACAATGACAATAATAAATTTCAGTGCTCTTCTCGTCCCAATCTTCACTGCATAATTAAAAGAATTTAGAAAATCCTCATCCCAATATTTAAATTTTAAAAATAGGTCAATGAAAAACGAAAATTTGATCAAACAGTTTTTTTTTCCTATTTTTTCGTCTATCAGATGTGAAAGATCACAACCTTCGATAACTTTTTATTGTCTGAATACAATCAGCTATTCCGAAGAAAATTTCCAAAAAAGAAATTCCGAACGGAAACACACATAATCTTAAAGCAATTGCAACCGGAAGTAAACACAGGTAGCTTCGAAAGGCCTTGTTTTAGCTGTTTCACGAAAGCTAAAGAGAGGAGTCACGATTTCGGTATACTATCCAACATCAAGGTGTAACAGGAATGAAAGCAATTTTTCGTTTATGATAATAACAAGGAGACAAAAAAAAGAAAAATATCACTATGCAATTTTCCAAGCCAGTTATCATACCAGTACAAGTATCGATTACGGAAATAAAAGACCTTGGAATAGGTGCACTAAAATGGGAAAAAAAGCTTTGAAAGTTATTAACAAAAGTTCAGTTTGCCAGTGATAATTTGAAAGAAATAATTTTCGTCAAGAATACAAAACTTCGATAACAATATCAAAAAGGAAATATTTCACTGTTTGAGGATACTTATTGGTCTATTCTTGTCTAACCTAGAATCTCAATGGTGCATTTATTCATGCACAGATTCCTTTGTTTATTCGGATTCTTTTTTAGAAATCACTTTTTTTTCCTCGCTTCAATTTGTGATTGTACAGCTTGAGCAGATAATTCATCCATCTGTTTCAGCCAATTTTCTAAATCTTCCAGCTGTTGTTGCATTTGTTTTTTCCTGAACACCGTATAATAGTTCACACCCATAAATGTGAACTTTATCTGAAATAAAAGCAAGGAATAAACGCATCGAAAAAAAGCATGCTGAAAACTTCAGGGTAATTTTGGAAAAAAACTTGTAGATTTTCCAAAAAAAAGGAACCAGTGTTCGGATCAGTTACGGATCATCATTAATTATTTTCGATCATCTTTAGTTATTTTCTAATATTTCAGAGCTAAATTGAATTCAAAAATCGGAAATTTCGAAAGATGAAAATCTTACAGACGAAAACAACAATAATATATAAAACATACTTTGAAAAGTTCGAAAGCCGCTCCTAATAATATACATGCCGGAAACCAATAAACCACATCTGGTCCGACTAATTGCATGAAACGTTTGCCACGTGAAAACATCCTGGAATGAAAAGGCACTCCGCATTTTAATTACATTTGAAATATATAAACTGAACTTCAGTTCTGTAGGAGACTGAAAGGATTACAGAAATTCTCAGTTATCTTTGCAAAGCAATGAAGTATTGATGGGCTAATTTCGCAGGCAAGGTAAAAATGACTTTCATAGAAAAAGTTCTTCGGCAAACTTCCTATCGAGAAAACTAATTCTGACCTTAATAATTAAAGGAGAAGGGTGAGGGAGAAGAGGACGACCAGAGTGACCGGAGACGAAAACATGAAAGTAGTTCTTGCTACCATAAAATTAAAATTAGGGGACTGACAAAGTATATAAAACTAAGCAGTAAATTTCAATTATTATGAAATGATAAATTTTTGCTAATCAAGAAAAAAGCGCATCATTTTGTTTCTCCCGAAACTCTCAAATTTTCAGAACCTGAAGATTTCGCACTTACTTGTTTTTCTTAAACCTTAAAAAAAATGAAATTTTTTTTTTTTGAACTTTAGGGAAATTATGATTGTCGAATAGTTCCGATATTATATATGTATTCATGAATCAAGAAAAGCTGCAAAGACAAGCCATAAGAAATGAAATTCATTTGTTTTATCAAATCAGTTGCGTACAAGGAATGAATTATGTGAACAGCAATACGATAATTTCAGCAATGTTTGGTAAAAATTTACCAAAATTTCAGGCCATATTTTGGGAGAGAAAACTGCAAAATAAAATATACAACTGAAATGTAATCAAGAACAATATGACAGGCAAATTCACAGAGCTGAACAATTTACGATTGGTTTTACTTCTAAAGCCTTCATTTTTCTTTTAAAAGTCCAATGTTATACTCCAGTGTTATTGTTTTTGACTTGTTACATATGGTATTGATACATAGAACAAGCTCAGTAATTTGAAACATTAAAACAGGGTAAATAAAACCTATATCAGTCTGTCAACTGGCACACATAATTAATTAATCAGTACATTAGACGAATGATGTGATTCGTACTCTCATTTAGAAAGTTCATGTAAGTGTTGCTTTTACTTCGTGATCACATCACCATCAAATAAAACGCTGCATAAAACTGTAAAATCCTTATTTATTTAAAAATTACATTACGTTACCTTTCCCTCAATAAAAGCGTGATTCCTCAAGTAGCACTTCGCCAAATGTTACAGGTCTTTACAAACAACGACCGATGATATCGCTGTTGATATCGATCGCAGTTTTGTGACTCTCAATAAGTCACGTAACGACAGTTTGAGTGAGATGCAATCCTATGTCAAAAATGTTTTTACACTCTTTTGTCTGGAGCATATTTCGAAACTTATAAAGGCTATGAGGCACTCTCAATAAGAATTCCCAAATTGAAACTTGTTTGTTGGAAATTTCGAAAATACTAACCCTAAATTGGCACATTAACAAGATGTTAAAGTAATAGGAACCAATAATTGGAAATAATTTAAAAATAAGGACCAATAATTACATAATTGAAAATTCTAACCCTACAAAACCGTCCAAAAAAAAATAACAGATAAAGACTTTGCAAATAAACGAAATTAGATAAAATGATCCTACTATAATAAATTGAAAACGCTAGATAACTTACTTATTCTTCAGAGTTTCAATGAAAAACCCGCCTCATCAGCCTCGATTAAGTCTTTCTCTAATCGTTCACGATCTGCTTCACGTACCGGTTTTACCACTTTGTAGTACATTACAACGTTAACTAGGGCTACCGATGTCATACACAACGCTCCACCAATTAATGCTACAACCGTGGCTGAAAGTATTCAAATTCCTTACAACAAAAATATTTTTGTACATATATATGAAATGGTATTTCGTAATTTCTGAATACTTGGAAAACTGATCATGCAAGGTTACCTTCATTCTGAATAACCATGCAATCTTGAAACTTATTCAGAAGTTCCACAACTATTTGTGATGTCCTAAAATCAAATTTAAAGATATGATTTTAGTTCAGTAGTTTTCAAAAGTCGACCATCGTCAGAGGAACCAGTTTCTCGAATTTATTAATTCCGCCTAAAACTGTAAACATAAATCAACGAGAAAAAGACGTTTTTTAATGATTACCCGAGAAATTTCTCTGGAAGATACTACTTTATCCTGAAAGTTAAACGTTTGCTTCCATCTTGGCTCCCTACAGCTCATATCCTACAAGTCACTCATTTTGATGATATGGTCGCATCATATCACGGGATGTTGTTTAATAGCGATCCAGTGGATAATTAATAAATGATTGGACCATTATTAAATATACTACTGAGTAACAGATTATTGGCTTCTGAATAACCAAATAATTGGCTTCTGAATCAGTGATGGGAAATGGACTAGTACTGTTAGTGAATAATAGAATTAACTGGCCATTATTTACTGATTACCACTTAATGGACTACCGGGTTACAAAATACAATTATTATATTTATGTAGATCAAGTGATTAAACTTCAAAAAAGTTTGATGACGTAAAGTTAGGCACAAAGTTACAGTAGTTTAAATGAAGCATAAGTATACTCAACAAATACAAAATATGGCCAGTAAGTCATTTTTCGTAGTGAAAACATCCAACAAGAATAATTAGTACGAAAAAGAAACAATTAAAAAAAGGCATAATTAATAAGTGACGTGACAAAGATCTCAGAATGAGAGTTATAAACTAATGAGGAAAAAAAGCGAACAAACAAGAATAGTTTTCTACAAGCTTTTTCAAAAGTTATAGTAACTTGAGGAGGATGCAATTAATTCGCAGTTCGTAGAATAAGCAACACTCTTTTATAATGTTTGAAAATTTCTTCTAAGTCTAATATTAAGCTGCAAATAAATTAAAACATACTGCTGTACAATTTATCCAGTACACTGCTGGTAAAAATACGTTTATGAAATGGTCGTAGACCGGTCCGTTTAGATGCTAATCTTATCCACGATAATAACATATTATCCTGCAAATATTCTTCTCTTATCCTTGTAGCATTCAATAAAAACAAGAGATAAAGTATAAATTAAAATAAATTCAGAAATTTGGATCAAAATATATTCAGTCCATTCCAGTTAATACCACAGTTAAATAATCAATTACAAGGAAAGAAAAATGAAGCTTAAAAATACCAATTAGGAAAAAAAATTTCGCTCATTTTCCAGTCATCCATCAATTCTTTAAATAAAACATAATAAAATAAAATGAAAAACAAAAGAGAAATAAAAATAAGCACGAAGTACAATATGAAAATGGAAAGACCTGGATTTAATTAATTCTAAAAGCTTTTTTGCAACTTGTGCTCAAACCCAGCTTCCTAGAAGAATTTTCTCAATTTATAATGATATCAGATGTTTTTGCATCTATCTCTGTAATCTTATTCTCATGTATACTCTCTTCCTTCACCATCACACACTCATCCTATTATAAAACATTACTCATCAAATGAATTTCTCAATCTTCGATGAATGATTCTTTCTCATGTCCCCATTATCTCTGCTTTCCCTCTGCTTTAAAGCTTATTTTCTACCATTTCTCACAGTCACTATTTCCGCAAATCATTTCTGTTACTGTACAATGTGACGACAGTGTTTGGGGTTTGGTGACTAAGTGCAGTTGGACAAGGCGGTAATACAACAAGTTGTGTGTCAGTTGGGATTCATTTTAATTGAAATTTTCAATTCCAATTATTTTAATTCAGTTCCTCAATTTCAGTATGATCCGCAGCGAAATTTCGGATTGGAATTTATTTTAGTTGAATTGAAATTTCAATTCCAATAGTGATATCATATGACTGTGAAAATGTACATATGTATCATTATAAATTAGTTTGATTAGAATATTAAAATAAAATTTATTTCAAAACTAAACTTTAATTTGAGTTATGCTGTGGAATCGCAAGATCACAAGATTTCGGTTTAAATTTTTGAGTTTTCTATTGAAGCTTAATTTGAATTTACGTTTCATGCTCAGTGGTAAGGTAATATATATGGTGGAAAAATTTTATGAAGTATTTACACATGTGGATGTGTTGAAAAGTCGCGAACCGGAATATTTCATTTGTCAAAAGGTTAGTGCATAGGAATGATATGATAGATGGAATGGATCGGTTTCAGTACGGAATACGAATCAATGTTCATTCTCACCTCTCTTTTGCTTCAATCTGTTTAACACTGTGGTTTCCAGACTATTGTAGCATATCAAAATATTTCAAAAATATTGTTAACGAGAGAGTATGACTAGGAATGGATGGAAAAGTTATGGTTGAATTGGAATGAATAAGGCTGCAATGAATAAAGGATTCGATTGGATAGAATTTTAGATGTGATAGAAGTAGATGAAAGGATTAGATTAGTTAGGATAGGATAGTTGATGGGATAAAGGAAAGAAACAAATCATTTAGTTATGCTGATCTGTAAACAGTCTTAAATTCATTTTGTTCATTCATAGAAGAAAAAATCAGGCTTCAATTTAACTAATTAAAACCTAACTAGAAATAATTTCAAGGGATTTGTTGAGGAACCGTTTTTTTCTGTTGTTTTGAAAGCCTGTTAAAATTTATTTTCGAGTAGTTAAGTGGTGGAAATATGCTACAAGAAATTTTATATTTGAAAACTTACTTTTTTCTTATTTCAGCCAATAATAGTGGATTTCGACAATTTGATTGGCAATAAAAATTCCAAAAATAGCAAAGAAATTGAAAAGGTGGGGAAATTAGAAGTGATGGATACCGACAGTGAGCAAACGATGGAAGTACAAACGAATGGAGGATTGTCGTCCACGTCTACCGGGACGTCGGTTGCTGCGGTAAAAACATTCGTTAGCATATTGGAAGAGGGATGTAAAAAGTATTACGATGGAACACCACCTATATTTATGCCTGCTTTCGTAGAAATGGTTAGCATTATGTTTTTTAATCAGATAAAATAGGAATTTTGAATCCATACTTGTTATTCATGATCCGTGGAAGTTTTATTCATATATAGATAGATAGGCAGATAAACAGATAAATAAATAAATAAATGGATAGATACTTAAGCGAACTTAGCATTTAAAATGTCATCTACATGTTGCGAGGAGATGAATCCGATCATGAAGTCGTTGTAATTTAAAGCTATGTAAATCCAGGTGTGGTATTCCCTTCTAGCTGTTATATAACAAATCAATTGTAATTAATGAGTTGCATACGAATTATCATTTTAGCCCAATTTATTTGCAATACGATGTGAACTGTACGGTATTCATACAATAGGTCATGGTAGGACAAAGAAAATAGCAAAACAAATGGCTGCAAAAAATATGCTGAAAAAAGTATCTTTTTTAATTTTGATTAAGGAAAAAGGTAATTCTGGAGTTTTATTTTTTTATATTTCTAGAGTTTTATTTTCGGGAATATCATTTCGAGACAGTTATAACAAACCACCAACCTTATTAATTGATTTGATGAGAAATAATATAGTTCGAAGTGCTTGTAAACTCTTCGTTTAGATACTTCAATTAATCTTGATATTATGTATACAACTATCCATACGATGGGTGTGTTGAATTTTGAGACTTCAGTCTGCAGAACTATAACGATTTATGAATGGATGTTTCATTTTCATCCATAGCTTATCTAAAGTTTATTATGCTTTCTGTAATTTAATGAATTTTAGATGAGCTATAATAAATTCTGTAGATGTCTGGAAGTTTGCTTCATTCGTCAAATTGATTTACTTGTATCAAAAGCTGGATTTTTTGACTTTTTAAGAAATGGCTTTGGTGTTTCTTTTCAACAGATGAAAGTGATTCATTTGCATAAATACGGAGTTTATTTCAGATGATTGAGAAGGAATCATTCAGTGATTTTGAACTCGGTAAAACAAAAGAAGAAGCATTAGCTAGCTTGTGAGTTATATGTGTTATTTTTGCAGTTCCAGATTTGTTGCAAGCATATCGGTTGTACAGATTGTATAAATTACACCTAGGTATCGCCTTGTTTTATTTCTTCTAACAAGAATAATGTAAAATTTGGGATTATCATAGCTTCGTTTTATTAATCAACTCCATTGATAAAGGTATCTGGTGTAAGCGTTAAAGATTGTTATTGAATAAGAACTTTGTAAGATTGCATGGGCAGTGCAGCTGGACTTGTTAACATGGAAAACATTGGAAAAATGCTCACTGAAAAAGGTTACAATGGAGGAGTATTTAGGATTATCATTAGTATAGCTAACCATCATAGGGAGTAACTTTTTAGCTTTTTGTGTACGTTTAAAATCGAATCGGTAGGATTTCAAAACCCTACTCAAAATATATGATGGATCCATAGGTGATGACTAGTAACAAAAATAGTATTCTCTATTTGTCTTATAAACTACGTTTTACTGATTTTCATTATTTCTAATCAATTATAGTTTGAAATGTATGGTACTTATTTGAAAAAATACCATTAACATTCCAAAGCATCTAGACCGATGTACTTAACTTTGGATGCTGCACAAGATTTTTTTTCTTTATATAAAACTAATTATTACGGACTATAATATTCTGTTTGTTTTGCAGGGAGAATTTAACGATTGATTTCCAAAATCGAGGAAGTGGTGATGATTCTGTTGCAGAGAACTGGGTGGGAAAAGTAAACGAAAGGTTGGAACCTTCTTATCGTCATAAAGCTTTATCTGTATATAGTATTTTTTGTCGCATTACCTAACAGATAACTGTTATAAACTAAGCTTCAGACTTTTTTCATTTTTAATAAACAATCTTAAATTTATTAGTTTTGGTTCTATTCTAGATGTCAAAAGCTGAAATTATCAAGTGTTAATTATGAAATCGATGAAGAAGGACCTCCAAATCACCGGATTTTCATTGCTACTTGTAAAATGGGGAAAGTTCATGTAGTAGGACATGGAAAAACGAAGAAGGTAAGTCAGTGTCAAAGTTATCTTACTATTTTATCTGTCTCGAGATTTTTTTTTCATAGTTGTTACTCTGCTTTGGCTTCGCTTTCTCCGATCATTCCTTTTTTCTTTTGCATGATTTTAAACCTGCTTTGTCTTCTAATCACTTTCTCAACTGACATAGATTAACGGATTTGAAAGAATTTCTGCGGGTTTCTCGAATAAGTATGAAATGTGTTACAGATAGCGAAGACACTAGCAGCTCAAAAAATGTATGCTCAGTTAGAAAATTGGAAAGATTTGGCAGATGATATTGGAAATGCAGCGCTTGTTGCTGCTGCAGGTCAAGAAACTACGAACAATAGTGAATCTACAGCAAATGAAAGTCTGGTAAATAAAGTTCAGGTTGAAAAATTCTAGGAATTTTCTAAACATCATTTCTTTAAATGTATGATTGCTAAGAATTTAGCTTCTTTCAGAGTAATCTCGATGCATCAGCCAATGCACTGGTGCATCCGGACTCGTTGCAAAAAGTTCGTGCTGCATTTCGAGATGGCTTTGATGTAACAGGTCTTACAGAAAAATTGATCAAATTGATTAATTCTGGTGACGAAAATATCAACAAAATTTTCCTGAATCAAAAACTGAATTTTGTATTTCTTGAACCAGACTTGGATGGTATGTCCTCTTCAACTTTATCATGGAAGTATTCTGCATTTTGCCTCAATTAACTAGCAGATAAGAATTGAGAGACAACTCAAAGCAAGTAATGTGATGATGAACATGAGAAAAAATCAAATATTTCTGAGATTAAATTTTCGCAAAAACTATTTCAGGTAACCTCCAATGTCTGCTCTCAATTAATGGTCCTAATGATATGAAGAACGCTTTCTATGGATTTGGAACGACGGAAACGGATGCGAAAGATTATGCTGCGCGAAATGCGCTTATACATTTAGAACTGTTTATACGGACTTCGGAGCCATCACGAGGTTCCAGTGATCTGTCAGAGACACAATTGACGATTGGTTCTTTAACATGGACAAAAAATTCCCCAGAAGATGAAAATCAGAATTCTTCATCAGAAAAGCAGTAAGACGTTGCTAATTCAAAAGATTCCTTCGCATCGATTTCACATGGATTTAAAAGTTTATTATTTCCACAGTTTGCGTCAAGGAACCAAAATAGATTCCCCCCCCCCCCACCTCCCCAAAGGATCTGTATTTTTTTCCAAAAAAGCTATTTTTCCCAAAACTGTTCGGAACTGACTCGAAAGTTCTGTATATGAAATAAACATTTAACATAAAAGCACTCTGATTAAATTGGATTTATTTGTTGAAAGTCCTATGGCTTATACGATTTACTTTTATGTCATGATCTGGTATTTGTACTATAGCCCTATTTGATGCATTGAATAAAACGATTTTCCTCAACCCATCGGTTTCTCTATAAGACGAAACATCCAGCAAACTGAAAAGTCAACCTGAATTGACAAAATAAGACAACTTTATTTCCGTTAACAACCAACTCATCTCTAATCTATTCATTAGTTTCCAGTAGCTTTGATGATAAAGTCATTGCATGCATTTTGAGAGTAAGTTAATCGCTTATCAAGTTCCATGTTCTGCTATCATATTACCTACCACAAAAGATATTTTTACATGCAGATTTCTGTACTCATTATATATTTTAAAGTTCAAAAGCCGTTAAAAATTCCCTCCACGTACATAACACCGGTTGCACTGCTGATTCTATGAAAAATACCAGAACAGTTTTTTCTCTTTTTTAAATACTATCTGTAAAATATGATGTATTTTTGTTGGAATTCTTACTTATGATTGAAAATGCACTATGTTACGTTAACTTCATTATTTGTTTAACTAGATTTTTTATTAAATGCAACCGTTATTTGATATTATATGTTTTGGTACTTACATGATCACTTACCACTTCATGAAAAGATCTAAACAATACCAGCCAATAAAACATTTCGTTCAATTCACTTATCCGTTATTCTTCAAACAAACATAAAATTCTCCATATACTGCTGCATTATTACGTATAAATAACGTAAAACAATATTTTTAAACAAATACAAGTCGGAAATTCGAAAAAAAATCAGTTTCTAAACTGTTTCATTGATTATTTCGCATATTAAAAAGATAGTACACCTAAGATGACAGTATCCTATTTACATAGCCGTTTCAAGCACTTTTTTTCTAAACTAAGACTAACCTGCTTTATTTCCTTTCCAATTCAAATATAGATGTTGCATTCCAGATTCGTACTGTTCTTTCCATTGCTTATCCTTCTTTCTTGCCTGTATCATCTACCAGCGATTCTTATTTCCAGTTCATTTATTACTAATTCTTTTGTTTCTTTTCCTAATTGCCGTTGGTTCTTTATTTCTTGTTTATAGATCTTTCCTCCTTATTTATTATCTTATTAGCTACATTTTGTAACCGTACTTATTGTTCCAATGGCAACAATATTAATAAAATAATAATGCTAAAAAAATTTTGGCGAAAGATGAAATACGAAGAAGTAATCAGAAGAGCGAATTCTTACTACTATCGTCATAATAACACGTGCCGGTGCGAAATTTTTGAACTTTTTAACCATTATTATCGGATTTTTTAGAACTTTAAAGTTTTTGTAATGATCAAAGGATGGTGGGCCATATTTAGTTTCAGCTCTTTTTAAGAATGCTATAACCATAGTTTGCACAACATGATCGAAAAAGTGATGTGCGAGGAAGGAGTGAAACATTGAACGGAATTCAAAAGTAAGACTGAAGATTAGAGTACAGGAACGACTATTGTTAGCTCGACCTGGACTGAAATGCCATGTCGATTCCAGTGTTTTGAATAGTGTTTTATCGGTACATACGGACTGAAACATATTGTATTTTTCGTGAACAAATTCATAAAACAGGAATCTTTACTAATTTCATTTGAAAAATATGGTTTTCAGCAGTATTCTAATCGATGCTACAGTTGTCAACCAATCGGATATAATAGAAATATAAGTTTTCAGTATCATGGAAAAAGTGTAGCATAGTATCTTGAAATATTAGATAAGGGTAACAATATTCATACTGTACAATCTAGTAAACTGTACAATGTCACATTAAATTACCAATAAATTAAATAGAAGAGTACACCCATGAAAATTCAAGAGTATTAAAATCATTGGATAACTTACCCGGACCATGCTTGGTTTTACGGTCGAAACTCGAGAAGTATACGTTTCACATACAGGTGGAAAGCCGATCTGCAGCTGAGCTGTGAACAAATTTGGTGAATGTTTCTGTAAACACGCCAGCTTTTAAGCAACTAGAAAATGCAATAAAGAACTGATATTGTAAGATGAACCATGACATAAGCCATAATAGATCTTGACCTTTGTTAAATCAGTGGCAATACCTTCATCCTTTAAATACACCATGCTATTTTTTGAGACCTGTTATCACCTACAAAGAATTAAATTAGAGGCAGGAAAAATGATTTACTTTGATACTGGCACCTCGACACCACGGTACAAATTCGGGATATTCGGATACATTTGCTGCAATGTTGAACATTTCGTCTGCAGTGTACCTGAAAACAGCATGATATAAAATTATTTTAACAGAACGCGGCTACAAAATTTATTCCTGTTTAGAAAACAGACATTACTGAATGAACAAAAACCTCCAGTTTGTTCAGCAAATAATAAATCAATAAAAGTTTTATTTAGACTATAATTCAATTGCCGAAACGTAATAATAATCTCGATTTTTTCTAGAAGACAAATTAATGATAGGGACAGTTCATCTTCCTATTAAGTTGTTAAATTAGTCGTAACCATCATTACTCTAACTGAATGATCAAAAAATGTGCATGATCAACAAGTTTGAGTCCCTGTATGGATTAAATTAAAGTCATTTTTAATCATGCAGTAAAATTTTACACAAATTTTTACAACTCATTCATGGTTTTCAAGCTTTCATTCATGTCCTCATATTAGAAATTCGAAAATTTCAAGTGGAAGAATGCATTAAAATGTAACCCAACAATACGCTTCTCCTGATATTCCTTTAAATTTGTCGACTGTTTCAATGAAAGGAATAGATTCCTCCGTGGTATGAAATAGGCGTATCTTAATATCATTGCACAGCGATAAACATTCCGTTGTATGATATAGGCGTATCTTAATATCACTGCACAGTGATGAACATATCTAAAATGCTTCTGTAATAGGAAAATACTTTTCCATACATATCATCAGATTTCTTTGAATTTCACATCTCAAAATTTCGGATTAATCTAAAAATTGAACAAGCCACTTAGGAGAAACACAGAAAATGCATTGCTTAAACTATATTATGCATGCAAACGAACTTATAGGAACAAAAAACAACAGGCATTTAGATGTTAAGAGAAGAAAGTAATTGTGTTAAGAACCGACACAACTTGTAAATGTAAACACATCTGGTCACACAATATGTACTGTTCTTTCAATTTGTTTTTTTTTTTTTTGTATGTTTTTTTAAAAGATATTTTTGTCCGCAATACTATGCTTAAAATAATTTATTGTCAATATTTTCTTGATAATTTATCATTGTTATAACTTATCACAAATGAAACAATATAACATATCGTCATTCTTCTAATCACAACAGAAATTAAAAATAGCATTAGCATTTCAAAATTGCCCAAAAAAAGATTGCCACATTCAGTGATTGACACATCCTACATAAGCAACATTGAACAATACATCATAATATTTCGCCAAAAATATCTTAAAATTTAATGATTTGCTAACAATGATGAAGTATAAGCATACCATCACAAAATGCAAAGAAACTAGGTATGTAGGTTTCTTAACAACAAGCTTTTTTTTTCAGTCAATATAAACCCTCCTTTTTTCAATAACACATTATGGCCTGTTTTTCTATTAACTCAGCATCATTTCCTTGCTGGCTGTCATGACAAATATTGTTTAAATATACTTCAACAGCACTTGACAAATTGTTATACCATTTTGATTTACCTAATATCGTACTGAGTTACAAATCAACGCTAAGCTGTCATCAAATCATAGATAGAGGACGACAATAAACAATCCAGGTACCATAGCGCACTGAAACGCACAAGCAAATATTTTGTAGTTATTTGATAGGAGAAATTTCAAATTTACTAGAAAACTTCAACAAAATAGCCAAAGATTCTAGCTAACGTTGTTTACTTACAATATTACAAACACAAATTTTACAATAAAGTAGGTCGGCATCAAAAAAGACTAACAAGAAACGGAAAACTTAGTAATAGTGACTTGGAATGTGATGTCAGAAGAAACTGAAATTTGATGTCAGTTTTAGTGAACTGAATTTGATACCCATAGTGTTCAGCAGAGAAAATGAAAACACTTCTGTACGAACAAAGATGAATAGGATAGCAAGTAATCACTTAAAAAAAAAAAAAAAAAAACAAAGAACAAAATGAAATTTCTATAATGAAATTTCTATAAAAGCGATGCCGCTTTATTAGCTTTATTACACAGCAACTGTAAAATTGCAAATAGCAAGTAAATTACTAATAATGCTAACTAGGATGTTTGAATGCTTTAACAAAGCTTCATTACTGTTTGATATCACTAACAAGGAAAAGATAACTAATTGATAAAAATTAAAAATTTTTAATGACTTACGAAAAATCCTTCACTACCATTGCACTGTCTCTTTACTCAATAGATTAGTTCACATTATAAACTAATAATGTCTGTAGTGAAGCTCTTTATATGAATACAAAACATAGACATAGATATCTTTTTACGATATTGCAGTGGCAATGGTTAGGCAATACTAAGATGAGGAGAAACAAAAATGTCCCTGAAAGCTCATGAAAACTGTAAAGTACTACTACATATTGGCTACATGTTGGCCACTCACAATTCTACCTAATATGTTAGTTTACGAAACAGTGTTATGCTTGCTATCAGGAATCTCTTCTGGAAACCTTTACTAATATCCGGTATACTATCACTGGAAAATGCTGCATTGAATAACCTGATAATTTGAGTATTGCTAGTAATGGCTATGATATTTACCAAATAGATGAAACAACATGCAACAACTTGTAATCAATAAATTTTACTATGACAATAACAAAATTTTGAGAGAAAAAAAAAAGGATATCTGCGACACGATGAGAGGAATGCCGTCAACAACAATAATGATATTGTTATAAAATTTTTGGAAACAAAGAAATGTCCTAAACAAGAAAAAAAAATATCAATTTCAAGTAAGAATTTTAAAAAACGACATTGCCTAAAGCTAAAGGAGAAATTTTAATGGATAATGAAGAGTTTGACAAGAAAAAATTTATCAATGAAACTACCTATATCAGGAGCATAAAAAAATTAAAGAACTAAGAAACATTTCCACTTGTCCATAACTAAGTACAAAAAGACCTAAACTTGAAACTTCACCTGAAAGTCGGTTTCACAAATTAAAACGGTATGCATTATCTGATTAACGCTACTATTTTTGTTACGTTTAAAAATCTATTGGGAAAGGCAGGGGAAATGAAGGAAATCTAAAAAAAATATTCAATAATTATCCGAGCGGGCAAATAAAACGAATCACAGCATTAATAAATATCGGTATTTAATGTCATGCACAAATAACGGATATATATTCTCCAAACTTGCAATTTTTAAAGAAGAGGCAAAAGTCATGCCATTAACTGTTCTAAAGCTAAATTGAAATGATTTAAAATCACAGTTTTTGTACCTGACAAAAATTTCATGATATCACTTTCAAGAGTGGAAGTTCGCATCCAGTTTTCTAATAAGTTTGGATATTTTTGACAACAGTCTGAAAACTAATCTTCGGTATTAAATTTCCAATTATCAGCATCAATTTTCACGCTGCCACAAACTAAACAAAAAAAAAAACCTCAACAACTTCCTCTTTCTCCCTTGGAAACAATAAATTCTATCGCTTTTAAAGAAACGTATTTCGGAAGAAAACTGCCCTTATTCTACTTCTTGAATTATTAAAGACCACGCAAAAAAAGAAAAAAAAATTAACTGTATTAAAAGTAAGGTAATAAACTATCAAAAAAACAAAAGAAATGAAAACACGAAAATGGGACAAAAAAATAAGCCACTGACTTCAAAGAAGTTTAACACAGTAGACTATGACAGACTTAATAAAATATAAGCGCTTGCTTTAAATTAATCCAATTTTCTCTACCAATCAGGAAAAAGATTTCCAAGTGGATTCTTGAGCTGAGGAGAATGAAATAAAGTGTAAACAAGCTAAGAAAAAACTAGTTAACAGAAGTATAAAAGCAAATTAACAGCAAAGCTGATAAAAAATAGGATCACATGATTTCGTTTCCTCTTTAGAAATCCGGAAAATTTTAAAGAACTCACTAACCTTAATCAAGAAATCTTCCCAAAATCTTCGTCATGATTGAAAACAGCGTCTGGCGCTATATTTTAATTCCTTAGCTTTATCAACTTTTCTTTTGAGTTTTTAGTTTCTAAAATCCCATAAAAATATAAAAGAACATTTACCCCATCAATGCCAAGTGACAAATAAATTCTTTTATATAATCTAGAAGGTCCCGAAGTTCTTAAGCACGCTTCAGTGGTCGATGTCCTTTCACTATCGTTGGTTTCCCTTGCACAATACCTTTCTTTGATTTATCCTGAAAACCGCCACAACATAAATGATGGAAGCTTATAATTTAAAATGAGTACAATTCGCCATCGTGAATTTTTAACTAATTAATAGCAGTGAAATGTCATAACAAAGCACTGCTGGAATAGCCAATGAATTTTGAACAACTGCAACGTCAAAGATTTCGGAAACAGATAAGTACTTCATCTCCCATCCAAAATTTTCATGAAATGAAGAAATCTACAGCATATGATGCAGGATGCTTATAAATGAGGGAAAAACACATAAATGTTATTCTCTCTAGAGACAGAAACACAAATTGGGAGAATTCAATTTAAAAGCACAAGTATCCATACTTTCTTTGAATAGGAAAGTGACGCTGGCTGCTTTCGCCTATTCTTTTTTGGAATCACCGGTCTGTTGTTCTGCTTCAATACTTTGTAAATTCTCACAAGCCAGTTTTGTGATGTGTAAGCTTCTTCCAAATGTTCTAGCACAACATTTTTTCCGACCAATTACATATCCACGGGTTCGGTCGAAACCTGCTGGTTGTCGATAACTCATCTGAAAAGCCATCTCATTTGAAAATTAGAAAAAAAAATCGACACTTTAATTTCAAAATAATCAACACTTTTTTCAAAATAATTAACACTGAGAAATCAAAACATCACTCAGTTACTGACCACATAATGATTAGACTTATCGATGGTTCGAAATGTTTGGCTGTAACTAAAGAGCATGGCTGTCTCTTGCCAATCTTGCTAAAGGATTCAAGAATGTATCCATGTTTCACTTAATATTGCTAACCACTACCGAAATAAAATACTTTGGTTTAATTTCTGGGAACTCTCAGTATACTTACCTCGACATCTCCGAAACGATAGTAACTTATTTTGTACATTACAGAATTGAGCATTGTTTCAGAAGCTTTTGCTCCAACGCTGTAATCACCCGCCTCAGTGAAATAATTTGCTTCATGTATCTCTTTTGGATGTTCACCTTCAGCTATTCGTACCATCCACAGGAATTTATTGATATCATCACCTAAAAGAATTCAATCTCGAACTTTGTGTTATAATATAATTTTTCAACATTTTCTAGTGAATCTTTTTCCAAATAGCACAGATAAACAAATTTGAAGCCCGAAATTTTTACAAAAGAACTATAAAAAGCAATATTTTCCTAAAAATCTTTTCTTTCCCAACTCACATCCCATAAAAACAGGGATTAGAATGAATGAGGAGTCCAGATTTACAAGTAAAACATTTCCGATATCAAATTCAATGAAATGAGTAACCAACCCGAATAACCAATAACGCCACCAAAGATAACCAAAACATAGTCGACATCCAGTGCTTGCATAATTTCATACGCTGCTGACTCATTCGATGCCATTGCTTTTCCAACCTAAAAATGATCATTCTAATTCTCAATGAATTCTATGGAAAAGAAATCTAAAAAATATTAGCTGCTGAGTGGATAGTGCGAGGTAGCATTTAAAATGCATTGTTCATAAGGAGAAAAACATTATCTGACCAAAGAGTACAGGAAATTG